GGTATCAACTACATGGCGGTGAGTAACAAACTCCCTACGGAAGCTGTGAAGAAAGACCCGACGTTCCTCGATGAACCACTACCTATGACGTTCAACGATAATGAGGAGGATTGAAATTGGCCGCTGGTATCGCAGACAAAAAATAGCTGTTGTGTGACCACATTTGTGAAATAAGTCGCATCACATAAATAAGCGTTAGCCTGTGTGCATGCATTGTTCGTAACTTACTTTGTGCCAAAGTTAGCTGGATTGACTAACTGTTGTTTCTCAACTTCCTCCACCTTCAGTGTTTCAGAGGATTTCGCACAGACGCGGGCGATATGCGCCTGGATACTGTCAGCTGAGCGGAAGGAGCAATCCATTGTGTAATCACGTCCATCAGCCAGGTAAAACTGTAATGATGGCGTGGGGCAGATGTCTTGGAAAGTAACAATCTATGGTAGGACGATGCGTTGATCAAAAGTAATCATACGGACGCACCTGCACGGCTGGATTTTTGTACTGCAGCTGGGGCAGATACCAGCGAATGAACTCGCGGGCTCCTTCGGAAATCTCACCTTTGGAGAGGGTGTTTATGGTCAGAATCTTAATATTCTCCCGAAATATTATCCGTCCTGCATCTAGGTACTTTTTGGTTCGCGTCACAGCGTACCGACCACCCTTAAGGAGTGGCATTCTGGTTTCTGAAAATAATAAATACAGCAATTACTAAGGCGTGCCTTAATGCAACACTCAAGAAGAAGCTTGCAGTGTGTCAAATTTTTACGTCAAACTGAAGGGACTACACTGTGTGTTGCGTAAGTAGGGGACAGAATGGGGCTTGAAGTCACGAACAGAAGGTGTGGTAAGGGAAAGCAGAAACCAGGAAGCGGAAAAAATAACTTTGCACTTTTGCTGGTCTTCTGCGATTCTATAAGCTAACGGGAGTTCAAACAAAATTTACTGGCATTCGTTGTTTGAATGTAATTCAACACATTATTTTCGTGACACGAAAAAAGTCTGTCATACAGGCTTCACACCACCTACTGACATCTGACAGGAGAAGGGTATGTCTTTTTCGATGGGGTGAAACCTACTTGCATGTTGGCTGACTAATGATATGTCTGCTTGAAAATAAACGCTAACCGGTAGGCAGATGGCCACACCATCGAGAGTGGGCTAATCTCACGGTCGTATCGACTAACTCATTCAAATATTACGCACCTCGGCTAGGCAGAAGATAAATTACTTTTGCTCGGATGACAAAAAAGACTTGAATTATATTGTACGTGCAAACAGATTCGCTGCTGAAAACGTTGAAGATTTTAGGTTTTACCCAGTTTCGAGTTCTGGTGTTATGTGATAATCGTTTGAGATGCATCTAAAAAGAGGGCCTCATAATGAAAATTTTCGGTTTGAAACAGTACATGTGTACATATTGCATCAATGTTTCCTATCGAACTGTAACCTACGTAGGGCATCAAACTGTCTTACGCGAAGCAAAAAATACAAATGCCTTCATATAAATATAATGATGAAGTCGCCGAAAAAAAAGCATGTCGCGTATGCATTGGAAGGTTTGGACAGTCTGACGCCCTACCTTCTGTGAGGTTCGAATTTGTGGCCGACTTTCGCTAAAGTAAAACAATTCCATAATCTTATGTAGGTCAACTCGGAGAGTTTTGTATTTATAGTTTTATCGGTTCATGAAGTAGCACTTATTTAAGCAAAGGAATTGGGGTCTTCTCCGCAAAGTTTTGGAGGAAAATGCGATTTGATTGAATAATTTACGCATGTAGAAAACCTAGCCTAAAATCATCGAATACCCTGATGACAACTTCCTAGGTGCAAAGGTTCTGCTGGTCTTAGGTTGGACCAAAGCGTCTAGTGGAATAGATCCCTTGACCCTTTGGTCCGACCTAAGACCGGTAGAACATTTGCACCAAGCGAGACCTTCGCTACCAAGCGAGACGGTTTCAACTAACACGATTGCTGAGTTTAAAAATAGACTTGATGCCATTTTATTTGACAATAGGCGACTATCACAACACTATTTCTTATTTTAAGCACTGTTGACCACTTGACTGGCTCTAGACTGCTTTCATACTGTTTCGTACTCTTCGCGACAACTCATTCGAATGTGTGCCATGCTACCACATCTTGTTACAACATCATATTGACTGTAACAACGATACAGTTTACTTTACATTAATAGGGTCCTCAAGGTTATTCTCTATCTGTTACCCTTCAAGTTACAATATACTACTACATATGGGGTCGGCAAATTTTCCAAATATTCCCTGCTTGTTTTTGGAAAGGCTCCATTACTCCTGTCTATCCGAACTTTAAATTTAAATAAATTGCAAATACAAGCAAACATGCGAGTCTCGGGACGTAATTGAGAAGAAGACAACTCGATCGCTGGGACATTACTTTTATTCGCCTATTATTCGCGAATAAAAATATTGCCCCAACGATCGAGTAGCCTTCTTCTCTATTAAATTAATTTAATATTTACTTACGTATACGCAGAAGTGAACTTCATTTTTAAGCATTCTCAAAGCGTTTGTCTGAAACTTCATTTCTATCGTACAGTCTCACACGTGATGCAGATTACCCAAATAACAATGTCCTAGGTGCAAAGGTTTTACTGATCCTAGGCCGAACCAAAAGGTCTAGGGGTCTAGTCCCCCATATGCTTTAGTCCGGCCTAAGAACAGTAGAACCTGTGCACCTAGAAAATTGCCATAAGGGTATCATTTCGTCGCATATTCAAAAAAAACACAAACGAATTTGGAGCGGAAAGGCAATACGCTCAGTTGAAAAAAAATAGTTGACAAGATTCCCTATCTTGTATGTTATACATATTAGGTCGGATCCGGTTTACAACGGACCGTCGTTTAAAATAACAGACAACAATATTCGATAAATATGGTGAAACGAGAAACAGGCAGTGCAAGAAAACTCTTTTAACAGAAATCGGTGGCAGAGTTTAGCAAGCCACCGATTTCCTAAACATATAGGATAAAAAACTGCTTAAATAGGTTGTTAGATAGATAAGGTATGACAGGATGCAGTGAAATGGGACTGTGGTGTTTAGGGTTCGGAAAGCTCCTTGACGTAGAAAAAGGCAAATAACATCATGAGATAGGACGAGAAAAGAAAAGCTCAGCAGGGACAACGGGGACAACTAGGGGAAGACCGTAGAAGTCACGAGAACATCAGAGAGATGTGACCAAACAGACTGCAGATAGGACAAAACTGTTCGTGGCTTGGGGAGGGGCGAACTGAGGACGGAGAGTTATGGTAAGGGGATTCAGATTCTGGTGCTGAAATCTGCAATAAAAAACGTATATGACCTAGCAGGCTCAGGTGAGTGAATATCCGTGAGAAGTGTGCTCAATTGATGCTGGTGTGACATGAGTATATTAATGTTTCTGACACTGATGTGTAGTGTATGAGTAATAGTTGTACCTAATGTAATACAACCACGGGCCAAATCCAATGTTATAAGTACAGGATAGAAGGTACCAGACTGAGGGTTTTTTTGTGCAGAGAATCCTGAATTGTTGTTTCATGTGGCAGTGGCCACTGGCGAAGCCAGGTCTGGGAGAATATATGACAGTGGTGGCAGCTGCTTTTACATAATTGTGGATCAAGCTCACGTAGTATTAAATTAGCGTGTTTTCTTACCCGTGGGGCTGACATGTATAATGACCAAGGCTACATTGCTTGAAGGGGTGGCGTGTTCCAGTTGTCCCTAGGCGGCGGTGACTGTCTGGACGCGTTTGTGTGTTCATGGAGAATTTGTGGCGGAAAGCGCTCCCTGCGAAGTTATGTGAACTTGA